GGGGGCACGTAGGACAGTGTGTCCTCAGGACAGCCAAGTCAGGTGTACACCCTGCAGCTGAAGTGAGGCTCATGGACATCCTTCTGTCGCCGTCTCAGGTGACCATCACGGGCCGGCTGTGCCCGCAGCACGGGATGGGCAAATCCGTGTTTGTGATGGAGGCTAGGGGGGCCGCCACCCCCACCACAGTCCTGTGCTCCGTGGAGGAGCTGGCACTGGCCCATTACAGACACAGTGGCTTCGACCAAGGTAACTAACGCACAGCATCTCTCCTGGCCCCGGGGTCACCGGTGATGTTTATCAGCTGTCATCCACCCATCCTGTCCCCACCGCTGACCTGGGAGGGTGTGGGAGAGAACTGACTATGGATGTTAGAGGCCGTCTTCTTCCATTCACCCCGTGCCCACCACCTAACGCCTGTGAGGACGGTGCTCAATGGGATGTTAGAAGCCAATGACATGGGTTTTGCTCCCGGATGGCTGCTGTTCGTCAGGGGAGGAAACGAATGGGCAGGAGGCTAACAGAGATGCTGCCCAGTGACACACCTGTTAGAGGTGGGGAGCTGGGAGCCGGGCCCGGCAGCCTCTGACNACACACCTGTTAGAGGTGGGGAGCTGGGAGCCGGGCCCGGAAGCCTCTGACAGCAGTGAGCAGGAGCAGGCCCCGAACCCAGGTTGAAGAACCAAATCCTAGGAAGGTGCCANCAGCAGTGAGCAGGAGCAGGCCCCGAACCCAGGTTGAAGAACCAAATCCTGGGGTGGCAGCACCTGGAACCAGAGAAGGTGCTGGCAAGAGCAGTGACTTGACTTCCTTGTAGAATGAGCTCTCTCCATCCCAGATGAGCAGGGAAAATAAGTCAGTGACAAGCAGAGGTTCTCCTGTCTCCCTTTCCAAGAGGTGGGTGGCATCACCCGGCTCCTCCGCGGCACTAAACAGAACCATGGCTACGAAATGTGCCTGTGGGTGTTCCCATGGTTACTGAGACTTGCCGTGGCTCCTGTAGATAAGCCATATATTTTTTAAATGAGCTAGGAATGGCATGAAAATGGCATTTGAATCCAAAATAGTTCTGTGATTTCCTTCGACTCGAGAAGGCAGGTGATGGTGCTGGTTCTCTAGCAAAAGGAAGGAACGGATTTTTCCTGTGTGTGACTTCGCCTTAGGGATCCACGGGGAAGGGTCCACCTTTAGCACGCTGTTCGGCCTCCTCCTGTGGGACGTCATCTTCATGGACGGGATACCCGACGTCTTCAGAAATGCCTACCAGGTAACCACTCGAGCTCCAAGGCCCCAGGCGTGTACTCCTTGGGTGAGCAAACGCTTCTGTGCCTGCGTCATTCACGCCCACCTGGGCCCCGTGTCTGTGTCTGCAGCCACTGAAACCTGCCTATTACAGTCCTTTGTCATGGTGCTAACTCCACTGTACAGTTTGAAACTCTGAGCCTAACATACCCGCAACATTCCTTTTGAAACTTTAGCGTCTCTGCAGCTTTGACCTTTTCTTAGCACCTGTCTGTCAGGGTCCAGGTGTGTGCCAGGTGCTGTCCCAGCTGCCTCGCAGAGTTCATATTTTTTATGTATCTCTTGAGCAAAAGGATGTGCCCACTGAACCAGATGGGCCAGTTTCCACATTTCCAGGTGTTGAATAGTCTCTGATGAATCGGTTCTCGCCAGGCATTCCCGCTGGACTTGTGTACAGATGGCTTCTTCGTGAGCAGGCGGCCGGCCATCGAGGCCAGGCTGCAGCTGATCCACGCTGCGCCCGCCGAGCGCCTGCGAGCCATGGTGGCAGCCACGTGGCAGGCCCAGGAAGGCAGAGCGGCCTCCATTGTCAGCTGGGATCGCTTCACTTCCCTTCAGCAAGCTCAGGTGAAAATTTGCACACAAGAGAAACGTGCATGGATGTGTATATATGTTTGCATGCATACATGGATACACATATGCATATATATGTATCTGTGTGTGTGATGTCCCAGTTATTGATGGGAACATGTCAGGGCATACAAGGCGTTATGTCTCCTCCCCCCTTGATTGACAGCTTCCCTCTGCCTGACCTATGGCTCCCTGCACTGAGGACACTGTCCCTGTGGTTGCTGGCCTCTTTAAGTCATTGCTGTCACATTCGAAATCACTTCCTCACCTGCTCCCAGGGTTTTCCCACTAGGCAGAAGTATGATAACTGACGGAGGAAAACTGACTTACCAGAGCTGCCAGGGAATTTTCGCCAGTGGCTCTTGTGTCCTTGGAATCACGTCTGTAGGATCCCACGGAGTCCTCCCCGTGTCGTGATCACTGGGAGAATTTCAGGGCCTCGGTCGCCAGGGAATGACTGATTACCTGTGTCTTCTGTGTTCAGGACCTTGTTTCCTGCTTGGGTGGCCCCATCCTCAGTGGCGTGTGCCGGCGCCTGGCTGCGGACTTCCGCCACTGCCGTGGTGGCCTCCCCGACCTGGTGGTGTGGAACTCCCAGGATCACCGCTTCAAGGTCAGCTGAGCCTGAATGGAAAGTCATTTGTAACTTGATTAGCAGCTTCACCCAAGGCCAGAATCGAGCCATTTTTTGCCTGCTTGTTGACAAGATTGAATCCCTAGGGAACTACTGGATGGAGGAGGGCCAGGGCTCCTTGGAGGCTGATGGCGGAGGCCTCCCCATTCCTTGCACGAGGGCCTCTCCGCCAGGCAGCTATCCACGTGGCAGCTTGTGTGAGCAAGTGGCAGTCAGTCTGTCCTCACCTGAGCTTGGAAGTGAGAGTCCATCAGTTTTCTGTATTCTGTTGTTAGAAGCAAGTCCCCAGGTACAGCCCACCTCCAGGGAGACCTTGTATAGGTGTTCACAAGGTGTGAAGCACACCAGGGGCTAGGAAAAAACAATTCTAGACATAAGTCCTTCATCAGATATATTTCAACCCTGTCTGTGGCTTTTCATTCTCNTAGGAAAAAACAATTCTAGACATAAGTCCTTCATCAGATATATTTCAACCGTCTGTGGCTTTTCATCCTAACAGTGTCTTTTTAAGAGCAGTTTTAAATGTAGACAGCAGTGTAGTAGAATGAGCCATTTAAGTAACTGCAGTGAAAACTAGCTTATTTGAAGCCTATGGCGCTTCTGTTTCCGTAAGATACTAACTTGAAAACTGCTCTTCCAGCTGGTGGAAGTCAAAGGCCCCAACGATCGCCTTTCGCATAAGCAGATGATCTGGCTGGACGAGCTGCAGAAGCTGGGGGCTGACGTCGAAGTCTGCCACGTGGCTGCAGTGGGAGCTAAGAGCAAAGGCCTGGACTAGAGCTGTGCAACTGGGAGTCTCTGGTCAGACCTAAGATTTTCAAAATTATGAGTGTAAATACATTTAATTTTGATTTTGTTACTGTCAGCAATAAACCTGATGGTAAACTTAGTACTGGCTGTAATACACACATTGATTCCACACAGCAGGTAATGAACTTTTAAAAGGTGAAAACCTTGGTGGCCATTTTAGGACTGGAGACCTCCATTATTAGACTTACAAAAAAAGCCAAAAAACCCCAACAAATGAGATGATTCACAGCTTTTATAAAGTAGCATGCACAATGTTTCCTTCTCGTTTTACGATTACCCAAGAAGGGCGTAAGCAGTGGAAATTCTGATTTCTTTAGGAATTAAAAAAAAAAATTCTCATAGAAGTTCCTCGTTACATCTGTCAATGCTCACTTATTCCCTGGGCCTGTCACCAGAGGAGTGGACAGTCTTCATCAAAGGCAGTTGCCCCTTTCCACCCTTCTGGGGAACATCCCTAATGACTCGATTAGGGTAATTTTCTGTGTGGAATCATTGAAACAGAGCTGCTCATCCCCCGTGGGAGGCCTTAGGCTGGGAGGTGTGAAGAAGGCAGCTTATCAGAACAGCAGGCCCAGGAGTCAGGGCTGGGATCCCAGTCTCCCACTGACTAGTTCTGAGACCTCAGGGAAATGTGACTCCCAGCTTCTTAATTTATTAGATGGAATGACAAGTTAGGCGATGGTCCATTAATACCCACATGGTCTCAACTACAGCCAATTCTAAAGTAATGCTAAAAATGTCAGCGATCACTCCTCAGCTTTAGAAGCAGGAATGCTGAGTGGATCACACGCACACGCACACGCACACCCAGACAGCTGGAAGGAAATGCCTTCGCTTCCTAAATCACTGAGTTCTTGTAGATGACTTCACATTGATGACTACAACCAACAGTTCTGTGCAGAGTTTATTTAGCAGTTAGAGTTTCTTCACATTTTTTACTGTTGAACCAGATCTTTTCCTACTCCTGCTACCTGAACTCGTCAGTCAACTTCAGGCACAAAGGTTTTAGTTTCTCTTCAAGTCAAGTTCTAACTTCTTGAGTTACTGCTATAGCAGGCTGACTGCTGAAGGGCATGTTCAATGGTTCTCACCCTCTGTTAGCACAGATTAATATACTTCTCTTAAATAAAGTTAGACATTTTTGGTTTTAAAACTGGTTTCCATCATAAAATAACAGTAAGACATTGTACATCTTTAAGTTCAATACCAGAAAGTCCAGGCGTCTTTAGACACCGCATGGCCCAGGCTTCGTGTGCAGGGCTGTGGGGCCGGGTGGGAAGCTCTTTGGTACGGTGCACGTAACCCCCGTGGGACCTCTGTCACCACGTCCTCGGTGCTCCCGGAGGTGCCAGGACTTAGGCGGAGAGAGCTGTTCTTCATATTATGCACAGTGAGCTGTGGCACAATAATCATGATACAACAACTGTCCAGCAAAATGCAAAATATAACGAAAAACCATATTTTACTACCTTTGATTTTAATACAAAAATATGCACATTTCCTATTTGAAATAGTATTAATAGTACCTAATTGTTCTTAAACTTGTAAATCAAAAAAATCACTAAAGGAGCTGAAATAAATGTGGGAAGGGAAGAAAATGGTAGTGAAATGAATGCTCAACCCCCTCCAAAAGTAACAAATTTAGAACAATTTGTAGTGGGGAAAAAAAGCAGCTTAATGAAAAAGGGAGAAGCATTAATTAGTACACTTTCACCGGCAGAACATTCGCTGTGGTGTTTTAGGGGGGTTGGAACAGGTTTCCAAAAAGGACTATAAAGTGTTTAATGGCAACAATGCTATTTATGTAAACTGCAAAAGCCCTTATTTTCTAGGCAGCAAGTTGGCAAAAACACTGGGTTTAGCCACAAGTTGGATTTTTCTAAGACGCCGTATAGGAACTTCCATCCCTTGGAGTCCAGAGACATTATCAAACAATTTTAAAAGGCAAATAATTAAAATAGAAACAGCTATTCATTACGTATAAAGGTAAGACACACTTTTGAAAAAATTTGTCTTAGAAAAGGAAATAAGCTGACTCGACAATGTACTATAAAAACTTTTAAAAGCTTAGGATGGCAGTTTAACAGCCAAACTGGAAAACATTCATCTTTTAAGGAGGGAAGGAGGGATGCTGGGGGGCTGGTGCTAAACATCAGGACCATCGTACGTTAAGCTCTGACCCACAGCTTTGGCTCTTGCACACAATCTGGAAACAAGGGAGTTTTAGACCAAGAACACATCTCTGCTTCTCAGTCTCCTCTCCATATTGCTATCAAAAGTTGGGGGTGGGGCGAGGGGTGGAGTTCTCTTGCTATTTATTAAAACAGCAGGATTTTGAGAGGACATTTTATTTCTCCTGTTCTTGACTCCTAAGCATTTTCAGAACATTGTCGGAGGAGGAGGGACTGCTGTGCAGGTGACCTGACTCATGACCTCATTAGTTATTTCCAGAGAAAGTGTCAACCACGGTTGACCACACTGGAAATATGGAGGAAAAACCCTCTTTGTGAGGGTGGGCTCAGTGCAGACGGCATTTGCCCCCCACCCCCCCTTGGCCTGCACAGAGGGTTGAAAATGTGGCTTTGGGGACTTAGTGTGAAAAGCTTGTTTCCAATATGCAGTGGGATTTTAACTCCCTAATTTTAAAAACAAATTATATTTAACTGTGTCATTCATACCTTAATATTAATATCAAAGGCACTTCTAAGTTTAATTATCTACAGCAAATGCTTTAAAGTTAACAGTGCATATTTTAAAGTTAGTCCTAAGAAGTTAAGAGCAAACTCAGGATTTTAAGACACAGTGATCCACGGTCCCAGACGAAGTGATGTAAATAAATTATGGCGCTGGAACACTGACCCCCAGGTGGGTCTATTAGAGACAATAGGAAGTGACCAGGAAAATACACCAATACCTACTAATGCCTGTTGGGGTTTAGCGATGCTTCTTAAAGATGTGCTAAACACTCACTTCTTAACTCTCCTGACCTGTGCGTCTCTGGGTTGCTCACCTGAGGATCGGGCAACCTAAGCAGACAGCAGGAAAAATGGGCTGATTCGTCTGATCATAGGAATAAGAGTGTGGGAATGTCTGCCTGCAAATCACCGAAACACAAGCCAGACCTAGGGTAACAGAAAAAGGACATCACTCCAAAACCCATGCTTATCTCCTAAAAACAGTGAAGGACGCATCATTCAGCATGTTTTTAAACATTAGTGCAAATCTCACGGTTATTCTTAGACATATTAGAGCTTCAAATGCCTAGGTTAACAATTTAAATTCAGAGGAAAAGTTTCCAGTTCCCTCAAAATGTTCAGAAGACACCCCGTTTTAGTCTTCGTTCGCTAGGGTCTCAGTAGATAACCATATTTTGGCCCCACTTAAAAATTTGCTTAATGGTGTTCCTGAAATGCTTCGTCTGCATAGGTTGCCAACAGGGGAGAAGGGAAACGAGGAGGAGAGAAACTCTGGCGTCCCCGAGGTGTCGTGGGGGCCACGGGCTCGGAAGTACATCCTGCTCTGGTCCAGCTCCGCGTAGCAGGCCTCCAGAGGGCCGGCCCGGTGCTGCCGAAGCGTCCTGCTGAGCACGTCCACCTCGTCGGCCAGCAGCGAGAGCCTGTGGAAGGCGGTGATGAAGCCCCCGTGGTTGATCTGGGCCTCAGGGACCCAGCGGAAGTAGCACAGTTTCCAGAGCTTTATGTGCACTACAGACAGACGTGGCAGAAGAACACCGTGCAGGTTGGCCGGTTTGGAAAACCAGTCTCGGAAGAACTGCTCCATGCCACCGTCCTGGCCGTCGGCTTGAGGAGGAGGGTCTGGCTTTACTTGTAATATTAATGAGTTTCTCCGTGGGAGCAATTCTTGGTCACTAATGATTCCGTTCTTGAAGGAAGATGGCATTCCTCTCAGTGTGGAGCTGTAGCTTTTCTGTACGGGGGAGAGAGATTAGTATTACTATCCCGGGGCTCCTGTTTAGAGAGACAGCAAAGGTGCAACGGCAAACAGAAACTCGGTGTTACGAGAAGCATGAATTCTGGCCTGAAGGAACACTGTGTGCCTCCCCTTGTAATGCTACTCCAACGCTCCCCCACTGCAGTCTAGCCTTTCCAGGCCTGACTCCACTGGCCTGCATGGGGGTGGGAGGTGATACATCCTAGGCATTAATTTGCTTAAGTGCAAATTTCTAAGATTTCTGGCTTAGAAAAATTCTAACCTGGCTGATTCTAGAAAGAATAAGGCAGAGTGGGCGGGTCTCAGAAACGGGGCCTCCAGGCTCAGCTGCCCAGGGCTCCGTGGGCCTTAGGCACCAAGAAAAAAAGTCAGAGTATAGTTGAGTCGAGTCAGTTAACAAGTACATGATCCTTCACAACCTGCACTGGCAGTGTTGTCCTGGGAAGGGACTTGACCCTGGTACCGTGTTCTGAACAGGGAGCTTCTGGGCAAGTGACAAGCACCAGGCGCTCACAGGAGTGCCCTCGGCATTTACCTTTGTCCGCTTGAAGGACCTCATGGAGCCATTCTGCACACAGGGCGTGCTCTTCCCGATGTACGAGGGGTTGTGGAAGAGCGTGCGATCCTTCGCTGTGAACTGGAGCGACCAGTCCCAAACCGAGGGGAACTTTAAACCCTTTTCGTCACCCAGCTGGATATTTCTGCTTATAGCAAATTCCTGCAAAACAAAATTTTTGAACCTCTGTAAAAAGACGCCGAAGTGAAGATTTTCTCACATGAATTCCTGTTTTTGGATGGGCCATCCATCACAAGTGAAAATTTCAGAACTAGAGCAGCTCCTGCCCACAAGAGCGCATGTCTTCCTTCCAGAGAAGAGAAGCCCAAGGACACTCCACGCCCGGCATGAGTGAGCATATTTTCTTTCTGAAGACAGAAGGAAGCTGGGCCCTCTGGACCACGAGGATGTTATTATGAGAAGTCAGATTTCCCACGTGATACCACAGTCACCAAAGTTACTTTACAATTGCAGCATCTCACCTGTAAAGCCCACGAGCACACATTTATGCAACTACCTGTTGGGTGTAGAACTTGGTACGTGAATCAGTAAAACTGTCTTCAGATGGAGTTGCTGCCATCTACCTTGCACCTCTGTCTAAGAGCACAAGTCATCTATCCAGTGACTGCAGGATGTGGGCCACAGCCCAGGAGCAGGGAAGAAGGAATCCGCTCCCCGTGGTCCTAGTATTTGGCAGAGACCACGAAGACCACGCCCTGAAGCTGGGCCCGTGCTCACAGGAGTGCACCTCCAGCCCCACTCTGGGCTCATGCAGCCTGGTGACTCAATCTTCCCAGCCCAGCAAAGCCAGACGTCACAGTGCTGCAGTGACATTCAACCGCCTCGCTGCCAGTCTAGCACCACACCCATGTTTCATCTCTGAAACTCCTCCATACAACTCTCACATAAACATAATCTTGCTTTGTACAACTTTTATCCTACTGACCCAGAAGTAAATGCCCTCACACAGGATCTCTTTGATTTCCCACTGGAGAGCCCAAATGTGAAAACATAAAACACAAAGCACAATTTTTAAGGTGGTTAAAATAATTTACATCTTTAAAGTGGTTTATTACAATAAACAATGTACATCAGAGAAAAATACATAAAATGCTCACTCACAAAAACGAAACAACTTTGCCCTGGCTGATGTGGCTCAGTTAGATGGGCCTCATCCTGTGCACAGAGAGGTCACCAGTTGATTCCCAGTCAGGGCACATGCTCCGGTTTCGGGCTTAATCCCCAGTAGGGGGTGTGCAGGAGGCAGCCGATTTCTCTCCCTCCCCCTTCCTCTAAAATCAATAAAAAACATACTAAAAAATTTTTTTGTGCCCAGCCGGGTGTAGCTCAGCGGTTGAGCATCAACCTAGGATCCAGGCAATTGGGGTTCAATTCCCAGTCAGGGTACATGCCCCGGTTGCAGGCTCGATCCCCAGTCAGGGCCATGCAGGAGGCAGCCGATCAATGACTCCCTCATCATTGATGTGTCTCTCTCTCTCCCCCTCTCCTTTCCTCTCTCTGAAATCAATAAAGATGTATTTAAAAAAAAAATTTTTTTTTAGTGAAACAAGTTCCTAGATTTTTATGTCTTCACATAATTCATTCAAAAAATTCATTATGGCTTGAAACGGTAGCTAAAATCATTTTAAATTATATATTTGAAATACACAGCTAACTGTCCTTCAATCTGATCTCAATAAAGTGGTAAAAAGAAAAAGTAGCCATGACTACAGTGCCGCTTACTGTGCTCTGCTTCACACGCTGGTGCGGAGAGTTGAACAGAAAGGTGCCAAACAGGGAGATGTGGGTGCTGTCGCCCAGCACGGCTAAGTAGGTCTCGGAAAACTCAAAGGCGGCTGGGTACTGTTCTAGCAGCTGCCACGTGGCGTCCAGGAACAGCAAGAACAATGGAGACTGGCAAGTGCAAACCAGAAATGGAATTACTTAACGTGTCCTTCATTTTGCACATTTACTTCCAAATGGATCACTGATATTAAGGAAGAAATTACAAACAAAACACCTAAGCCAAAAGCACTTGGCCTCTAAGCTGAGCTAAGGATATGTGAACAGATTAAACACAGCTCATGTTCGACGTGATGAACATCACAGCCCTTATTTGCCTGAGAAGCGTGCACAGCTGAAGGTGAAGTACACAGATGGGCAGTTTGTCAGTGTATGAAAGGGAAACAGTGAAATGTGTGTTTAAGCCTGGCCTGGAAACAGTTCTTTAGAACATAAAAACATACACCCAAAACCAAAAATCAACTTCTGTAAATAGCTTCTGGTTGACCCTGCAGGCTCAGCTTCCAGAAACTTCCCAGAATTTCAGAAAACAGCTGGCATCCTCAGCCTCTAGGTCACAGGCCATGTCCCCAAGTACAACAGCTGATAACAGCTACTGTGACCTGCCCAGCACATCCTAAGAAGTCCTAGCGTTTTGAAAGTGAAGATTTCCTCAGAGTATACAGTTTGTTATACTAAAGATGAGACACCACAGTCCAACTGGGTTGCTCTCTGAAACAGCCCCCGCAACAAGAGCCTCGCAGGGTCGCTCACAGCTCCACTAGGCATCCAAGGCAGCCACTAACCAGCTACGACAAGAATGTCCCTCTATAGTTCCCTCTTCTTTTCTTTTTTCTTTACTGTGTCCCTGGGCAGCTGCATCACCCTTGACATGTCAAGGTAGTCACAGTGCCCTGGAATGTTTCTGTGGCAGACGGAAAAAGCACCCGCCTGGGACTGCAGCCGGGTGCAGAGTGAGCCTGCGATAAACCTCCCGTCTTAACACAGGTGCCCCCCTGTACGGAAATGTGATATTCCAAAATAATTTTTCAAAGTATCTAATGTGCTCGTTATCTGCTCTGCTGAAGAGTTAATGCATTTCTTCATGTAGTTTTCAATTTAGAGAAATCCAATAGGCAATTCTTCAGATTTTACCTATACAGTCACAATAGCCTTCATCAGCACAGCATCCATGTGGGCTCTAATCCAGTCGTCCATCCTGGACTGAGCGCCACCACGTGCTAAGTGCAACGCTTAGAAAGGCCCTGTCCCTCGCCAGAGGAACAGCTCTCCACACTCACACTGGTGTCGGCACTGAGATTCCTTACCTCCTTCTCCGACCTCTTTAAGTGGTTGCATCTGTCCAGGAACTGATATCCCGACATCACCCACTCCTTCTGTATGAGACTCTGAAACCCAGGAATTGTCCTGAAATAGGGATCCAGCATCACTTGAACAAGAGACGCTACAACGCAGCTCAAGTCTCTTCCCTCCTCCTCTGTCGATAAAATGGAAAGAAAATGATGACCACACAGAAGAACACTGAGAGGAAGGAAAGGGAAGGCAGACGAGTCAGTGTTCTGTGAGGAAATCAGCAACTCGAAAACAGCAGACCTTTGCATCAACTGAACTAGTGCCTAACGGGAGATGGCCTGTTACGTGTTTTCATTTTCCAGAGAGCAAAAGTGCATCCCTCACAGGTTTTACATGCCAATGGTTTGTGGTAGAAACCTTTCACAAGTCCAACCTGCCTCTGTTTTGTCAGGAACATTAAATATAATGTAATCTTTCTAGTGACAACTCCACATGGTGAATGAGAGGAATGGACTGTCTACCATCATCCAAAAAGGTGGCAAACATTTCCCTCCCATCTTTTATAGCTGGTGCCCTTTTCAACAAGGCCAGTCATACCCTGATATCACAGCCAGCCAAACAAATCAGAGGAAAACTACTGACCAATATTCCTTATGAATAGATGTAAAAGTCATCAACAACATAGGAGGAAACCAAATTACCTCAGGAGTGCGAGAATTTGTCCCAGGAATGCAAGGTTGGCATGTTAATAAGAAAGGACAAAACATTATCATCTCATTAGATGCACAGAACGCATCTGTGTGATGAAAATCCAACGTTCATGCTGGATAAAAACTCTCCATAAACTAGGAACAGAAGGGAATGTCAACCAGATAAAAGGAATCTACAAAAACCTACAACTAATACGATTCTTATTAGTGAAAGACTAACGCTTTCCCCCTAAGATCAGGAACAAGACCAGGGTGTTTGCCCTGGCTACTTCTATTCCACACTGTACTGGAAACTCTAGCTGGGGAAATTATATAAGAAACAAACAACAAAAAACATCCAAATCAAAAAGGAAAAACTCTAAGGACACCACAAAATAACCACTTGACCTAATACATGGGTTTAGTAAGGTCAGAGGCATTCTATACACAACAACCAGAGTACAGAGATTATAAACCAGAAAATAAAATTAAGAAAACAATTGTGTACACGGTAACATAAAAATAAAATAAGACACACAAGTGCAAAACTTGTACGCTAAAAACTGTAAAACATTGCTGACAAAATAAAAGAAAATCCGAACTGGAGAGGCATTCATTTCATGGATGGCATTCTCCTCCACTTACTCTATGGGTTCAACATACTCCCATCAGAATCCCAGTAAAACGTGGTATTCACAAACAATGGAACACTATTCAGAAATAAAAGAACGAACTGTTGATACATGCTACATGAATGAACTTCAGAAACATACATGAAAGAAGCCAGAGGCAAAACACCACCCACTGGATGATTCCCTGCTTATGAAAAATCCAGAAAACACAAATCTAGAATCTAGAGGCTGCCCAGGGCTGGGACACAAAGAATCTTTTGGGGGTAAAAGGAAATTTCTAAAACTGTATATTTACTAAAAATTACTGATTTCTACATTCAGAATGGGTGGACTTTATAGTATGTAAATGACACCTCAATAAGCTTTAGAAAACACATCTGTAAGACAGTGTTAGTGAAGTGCGCGCCACTACATCACAACAAACGCCCAAGCAATGTGCTGAGTAGAGCTGTGCAGTGGGGGGAGAACACCCAAGAGCTGAGGGAGCAGAGATTACCCCCCGCTGGGCTCTGCATGCATCTGTGAATTAAATACATGGGCTGCATCAGTTAACAATTACAGAAAAAGTGCATTACTATTCTTTCTCCCCACCAAGGGCTTTAAATATCTTTATTAAAGTCATTTAATGTGAGAGTTGGTAAAAATACCTCTGCAAGCTTCGGCAGCATCGTATATTCATAGCCTATGAAACGTGAATTTACCGTACTATCAGGCAATTCAAGGTTTATTAAACCTTATCTGTAAGCTTGGAGATCCCATTAGCTATTAAGTTATTTAATATAAAATTATGTTTTGCTTAACTGAAAGATTTTTATATTGCAATTATTGCTATTGAACATTAGACAAAATTCACATTATTGGCTATCCGATTTAGTCTATTCCTTGATACCGAACTGTTTCTTTAGAGGCACACTCTAGCATGAGCCAGAGGCATTTAAACTACAACTTGTATGAATGAGAAAGGTGGCAAGATTAGAGAGAAAGGATGCCTGGCCAAGATTAATACTTTGTATGAGTCCAATAAGGACTGTGACCTAGCTTCCCACAATGTAGGAAGATTAAATACCAGGCAGGAAACTGGCCTCCTTTCTGTTTTCCCATGTGCACTCTTCGTGCCACTGTTTTACTCTAACGATGTGTAAAATCTGGAGTGTGCTTGGTGGCAGTGGCGTAAATAAGAGATGGCTGAGATGAAAGCAACTGACTTGAACGTGGACAATAGTGCCCAAGCTGGCTGGTAAGCAGTGTTTCAGTAATGAATTACCTTGGAGGACTACAGAGACACGCTTGCTTTCTAGCATGTACACAAGTTCTGCTGAATGTTTCAGGAATGCCCTGAGAAAAGAAAAAATACTGTTAAAAATTCAATTTCTACTACAAAGATTTTTTTAAAGTACTTAAAATCAAGCAAATCTAATCTTCCACTATACACATTTGTATTCTCAATAACATTTATGAATTTCTCCAGTATTTATATGGTTCTTCAACAGAGAACAGTCTGGTTTTTTATATCAGGGAAATTCATTAACCTTTTATGAAAAGGAAGGAGCTGATTTACATAACATTCTTGAAATGGTGAAACTACAGAGATGGAGAAGAGATTAGCTGGTTGCCAGGGGACCGGGATGGGGTGGGGGTGGGGGTGGAACTCTAAATGGGCGGCAGGAGGGAGCCTTGTGGTGATGGAGTTGTATTTTGACTGTGGTGGTGGTTACAGGAACCTTCACGTATGATAAAACTGCACAGAACTACACACACACACACACACGAGCATGTATAACTGATGAAATGAATGAGGCCTGCAGCCTGTAACACTCAATTTCCTGGCTTCCAGACCACTGTCTAGTTATATAGATGCTGCCATGGGGGAAGCTGGGGAAGACTGCTGGCTCTCGGTACTATTTTTGCACCTACTATGAGTCTATAATTATTTCAAAATATAAAGTTAAAGAAAAGAAGGAAGGTGGTTGTACAAACCTTATATATTCTAGCCACCGAGTACTTTCCAGTGAAGATAACCATTTCTCTTCAGTTTCTTCAAAAGGCTCTGTAATAAATACATAATTATAGAGATACATAATTATATACACACATTCACGCACACACACATATATATACATACCTACATTTTCAGACTTTTGAAGCTTACTTTTATATGATCAATATCAGAGTTAAGTGGTACATCAGTAATAATACGTACCAGTATTTCAATGAGACTCTACTTAAATATATCTATTTCTATATTTGTAAGGAACCTCACTTTTCCAGACATGCCTCATACAATGCTGTATCCCCCATTCACTATACATATATATGTAAAAAAAATAAAATTACCATTAACGCACAGCTGTTTAAGTTTTACAAAAGCCGCTTGTATTTCTTGGATATTGGGCAGGGTCTTATCCAAATCTGACTTGTAAACATCTCTTCTCTGTGGATGACTTTTGGTTATTGCATTGCAAATCCTAATAAAAATGAAAACCTTTAGTCACTACTCATTCATTTATTGAACATACATTTCTTGAACACCTACTATGTGCCAAGACACTGTGCTACGAGTTGAGGATAGAGAGATGAACAACAGGCCAGGCCTCTGCCTTCCTGTGTTTACCTTCCTGGTGGTCGGGGGCAAGAGGGGAAGGGGGGAAATGAGAAACTAACAGGCTGTGGTGAATGCCATGGGTGGTGTAATCAGAGGAATACAGGCTAGTTCCAGTCCCAGTCAGAAAAGGCTCCTCTGTGTAGCGGATACTGAAGCCAAAGCCCAGATGACAGGGAGTCATGCACCGATCTGGGGGAAAGTGTTCTAGGGAGATGGAGAGCTGGTGCAAAGGGCCTGTAGAACACAGCTTAGCTGTTGGAGAATCCTAGAGAAGGCCAGTGGGGCTGAGGTGACATGTCTGAGGGAAAAAAGGATGGAGGTGAGGTTGGACAACAAAAGGAATCTGTTCTAATTACAAAAAATAGGATAGCCAAAAAACCAAAAGGAGTTAATATAATTCTTAGCTTAACAAATTCAAGTTTTCCTCTTAAGAGCAGTATTCCTAAGTGAGCACTTACTCAATCAGGCAAGTCAGTGAAAACAAGGCCTCAATTATGACATAACAGACCATTTCTAATGTGATTAAAATAAAATTAAGATCCATGGACAGTATGGACCTGTGCAAACTGCAGTGACCCTCCTCTCTGGAAAACTAAAGGGTCACCTGATAGTTACTCACTTCAGCAGTTATGGCACTGTGAAAACATCTAAGACCTGGCTCTACTGACAACACATTGATACACAATGTCTGAGACTCCCTGAGCCTGTTTTCTAAGATCTGTCCCTTTTTCTTCATTTATTTAACAAGTATAGAATCCATAACATCATAGGTATTTCCTGAGTGCTGCATATCCAATGGTGTGCAAAACAGACACAGCCCCTTCACTCCATGGAGCTTAGAGTCTAAGACAGACAGGCAGCAAACTGTAACACACGTACGCATTAAAAACCTAAGTAAGTGTTATGTAGAAAACCTGGAGGGCTATAGAGAACGCATAACTTGAGGTCTGGTCTAGTCTGGGAGGTACGGGAAGGCTTATCTCATGAAAGTGATGTTTGAACTGAGATCAAGAATAAGAGAGTCCCGAGTGGTGGGTGGAGTGCTTGTGGCATGAAGGAGGCAGAGTGGAAGGGAACAGCACGGGGAAAGGGTAGGAGGTGGAAAGGACCAGGGCAAGTCCAGGGTGGCTGGCATCCAGGAGGGACAGGGCACAGTATCAGATGAGATGGAAGAAGTGAGGGTGCCCTCCAACACATTGTGGAGGGTGAAGCCGGGTGTCCACATATGTGTCTTTAAGATTTCTGAAAAGTGAAGTGACAGAATTAGATGACGAGCTGGACATGGGGAAGGAAGCTGAAAGAGGAAGGCATCAGAATGACCCCTAGGGTTCTGAGGAGCGGACTGAGAGAGGGCGTGGTGTCCACGTCCTGGAGTTTGGTTTTGGACATGATGAGTTTAAAGGGCCTTTGAGATGTCGACATGGAAGACGTCCAATTAGCCTGGAGATATAAATTTGATGGTCAGTAAAGCCACAAGCTGCGGGTGAGCCTCTTTAGAAGGAAATACGGAACGGGAAGAGGAAGTGGCCTTTGACAGACTCTACACAGCGGCATGTGGAGAGCAGAGGCCAAGCCCGCACAGGGCACTGAGAACCAGGGAGGAGCTTGGGGAGAGGAGAGGAGCGCCCTGCGGAGGGCAGATTGGCCACGGCGACGCCCGCTGCTATGAGGGGCTAAGGAAGGTCTCGCACTTGAACCACATGGAGACGACCGGTGACTTTAGCAGACGCTGCCAAACTTGTGTGTGGCAGCTGATTAGAACCACATCTGAGGCGCTGTGACTCTAGACCTAAGACTAGATAACCATGAGAGAAGTCAGATTTCTCCTGCAGGGTCTCAATGGAAATCACTTCACTCTGAAAGTGCAGTAAAGGCAACGTTACAGCAAGACGTCAGCAACGCAGGATCCTCCAGTGTCTTATGAGCCAAAGACTGAAATTATATTTACTATCACTTAAATGTTAGTTAACTTGAATATATTCACATTGTTTCCAAGTGGTAATTCTTACATGGAAGGCGTGGTGCTAACAAGACTATCCGTCCCCCCATTAGTTTCCATTAGTCGGGAGTTTACTGTATTCATGACAACTAAAACTGTGTGAAGGAACAAAGACCCGTCTCAGTCACCTCTGGCTGATTTTCCTCTGCTGCAGCGCGTCTCTGATGAGGGCCATCCGCACGAGAGCACTGCCATTCGAGTGGCTCCAGCACCAGAGCTAGGACAGAAGAGAGCCTTTACATAAGTGGGACAAACACGGACAGCAGTGCTCATGAAATCCAACAGGTATCACTTACTGGCATCCTTCTTCCAACAAAAGAGTGGGAGAAGATCTTTAGGTCCTGGTCTGCTAGGGAACTTGGCACTACGAAGTATTCTGGAAGGCTGGAGGGTAGAAAACAAATCACGCCGTGAGAGCCCAGTGCTTGAGGCAGGATCAGTGTGCCCTGCAGACCCCACATATTTATCCCCACTCACTGAACACCCCACTTAGCAGCCATACAGTGAACAACGTGGAGGACACTGATGATCCCAGACATCTAGATCTAAAGCATGTATAATGCGGCCTATTATCACAAAATTTGTATTTATAGCGGGAAAATCCAAAAGAGATTTGAAATGTTATCCAGAGTGACTACCAATCAAACATGAAAAACATACCCACCTTTGTTCTCCTGACAGGCCACAGGGAAAGAGCTAGCAGGCACGCAAGACAAAGCGAACCCACGATCCACCAAGAAGCTTTAGCTCCCTTATCATCTCCCTCCTCGGTCCTTCCCCATCCCCAAACACAGGCAGACTCTAGGATCCTGACTAGAAAGCAACTGCTAGTGGGCAGCTCAATGCACCTTAAGACACTCCTTTCTCTCTTTCCTCCACATAGCCGGGCAGACGGACAGGCAGGCCTAGCCAGGCCCAGTCAGGTGCCTCTCAGCACACAACATACCAGAGCATGCTGGCCACCAAGTCTACAGTCAAAGACCCACGCTGTGGCTCCAACACCTCCCCAGAACTGTGCTCCTAGAAGTTCCTGCTGCTGACCAACAGCAATAAGAGGGTAGTATTCTGCTCTAAAACACTGCCTCTCTGCAAGAACTAATGAAGATTTTCATGATCTTAAAGCATCCCCCCAAATCCATGAGTAATAAACGACATAAACAAATTAAAAAAAACAATTTCCTGGTCACTTTTGGAGGATTCCAGGGAATTAGTTCATCATTCTAAAAACTGGTTAAGTAAAGGGAAAAAAAAAAAACCACAGCAGACCCTCGAGCTACAGTCTGAACTACAGGGGTCCACTTACATATGGATTTTCCCCAATGAATACAGTTAACGTATTTTCTCTCCCTTACGATTCTCTTAATGTTTTCTTTTCTCTGGCTTACTTTACTGTAGGAACACAGAACATGACACATGTAACACACAGAATACACATTAACTGTTTATGTTATCAGTAAGGCTTCTGATCAAGCAGGCTATTTGCAGGTAAGTTTTTAGGGAGCAGAAGGTTATATGCTGATTTTCGACTGCGCAGGGGTTTAGTGTCCCTAACCCCCGTGTTGTTCAAGGTATTGCCTTTGTTGTACAAACTGTATTTCAGGACACTAAAGAGCTGATGAGAGGAAAGTGTGATAGAAAGAATGACAGAATTAGAGTATGACCAACAGCAATCCTTAATGAAATGGGCATGGTCTTCACTCCTGATGCAAACCACTTGGCAGCTAAGTCACCACATAAAAGGGAACTCTGCATTGCACAGATCAGGCTGGCTGCCACTGGGCCCTCTGTCAGTCAGCATCACAGTGATGCCCAGACCCACATGGTGCAGCAGGAGGTACAAGGTGCCACCCACTGGGGCATTCTTGCCAAAACCCTAAACCTGAATCTAATTAATCCCCAATTAAACCTCTGGGGCGAGCTAACATTTTATAGGAAATACAGGAGACAGAGGAACACATTGAAAGGTCATCACTGGGTTAAAACCAGCAATATCTAGAAAGTGGAAAATTCTACAGAACAAATGACGAGGCTTTGTAAACAAAAGATGGCATTTTAAAAAGGGGGTGGGAGGAGACTGTCATCCATTAAAAGGCCTAAGAGTCATACCAAACAAGTTCACTGTGTTCCTGACCTGAACAAACTGACCATAAAACACATTTACAAGATATAAACACTGGCTGGATTACTGATGACAGTAAGGAATGATTGTCAGTTTCTTTCAATGGATGTTGATGTGTCATTACGTTAAAAAAGCACCCTTACCTTCAACATAAACTACTCATTAAAGCGTTATTAAAAATAAGACTCCAGCATGGCCGCTGTGGCTCAGTGGACTGAGCATCATCCCAGGCACCAAGAGGTCCCGGTTCGATTCCCCGGTTGCCGGCCTGATCCCCAGTAGGGGGCGTGCAGGAGGCAGCCGATCAGTGTCTCTCTCTCACGGATGTTTCTCTCTCTCTCTTCCTTCCTCTCTCTCGAAAATCGATAAAAACATATTTAAAACAACAACAACAAAAAAACCAACTTCCATTAACCGTAACCTGAAAGCTATCAATGACAGCAGAGTTTGGTTATTTTTAATAAGAAGTCACTCCTAGCTGTAAACATCATTCAACTCAGACTCACCAAGTGGATATCATGTAGCCCTCGTTAATGGAACAGACTCTCCACCCAGAAGCACCCGTCCTCTTGATTTCTCTGTCCCAGTCTGAGTAAGTCTCAAAAAGTGGAGTTTTCTGGCTGCTACCGCCACCACCTCCTGTGGGTACCCCATTAATTTTGTTGGCTACAAGAAAAAGCAGTATTATTAGTTTTGTTTTCACAATCACGTCATCCAACATTCCCTGTCCTCTCTCGGTGCTCCTGTCGCAAACACCCTCAGGGTGGCATCTCCTCCCAGCTTGTCCTTTGAGTCTCTCAAAGAGTGTCCTCTGTCCAGCAGTCCTGACATGGAGCTGCCCTTCTCCCTGTCCACCTCCTTCCGCACCCGCCAGCTCTGTCACCCTGGCTCCACCTCCAAGGCCTTCCCTTGGTCACTCCGGACCTCTCTAGCATTCGTCCACCCAATTCACTGCCCGCCTGTGCAGTGATGAATGATGCCTGCTGCCCATATTTCCTCTCCACTCATTTGCTCCTTAACTTCAACTGTCTTCTACCCCTGTCGTTCTACGGAAACCACTCACCAGCCTCCCTCATACCCATCCCAAACTGTGTCAAAATCCAAGTCATTGCTCATTTTCTCCATGTTTTGCCTAGAAAAATAAATGCATCCAACAAGCATCTCTGGTCTCAGAGCATCAAGTCCATCACCTTTCTAACAGTGGCTTCTCATTATCAAATTCTTGTCTTCTGCATCTACTCAGTTTTCCGGTGATGAGCTCACAGGATTCCTTGTACTCCGCTGGAGTGCCAGTCCATGTGGAGTTCCAGCAGAAAGCACCTGGACTTGAAGGTTGCAGTAAGGAGCCTTCTCTAACTGGGGAGCACTGCTATCTCCTGGGAGCACGCCCACAGCCTCGGGAGGGCCTGCAGAGGGACTCGAGAGGCAGAAGGTGCCTCAGCAGTCAGCCTCACCTACCCTGCCCATCTGGGAGACAGAGGGCACATCTTTCCTGGCCCAGTGTCTCACTGTGTGGGCTGCACTCGCCAGGCCTCCCAGCTGACATCCCTGACACGATGTTGTGCTGTGCTTGCCACATGACCATTTCCAGGAAAACATGCCTTCAGGATGCTACACCGTTGCCCCTAACTTGCAATCGTGTCATTTTCCAACTGTATCAAGCAAACCTAAACAGCCTCCCTCCACAGCTGGCCTGACCTTGACTTCCCATTTTTCCCCGACTCCCATGATCCTCTGCAGCCAGGAAAAACCCTCCCTTGTCCCAGGAACAGGCCACGCCCATTCCAACACAGCTTATTAACCCCGGATGCAAGACAGGTATTTTCTAAGAACCTATCATGTGCTAAGGCCCGAGAATGAAAAACTGATTCCGATTTGATGTCTAGCTTGAAAGCACTAACACCAGTCCCAGTGCGCGAGGCGCGCACATGCAATGAGAAGGCAGCAGAGGCAGCCCTGAGCTCTCGTGGGAGACGAAAGCTGGGGCAGGAAAGGTCTCATGACTTGACCACGTCTGCACAGAGTCCTGAGGACTTAGCCAGGTGGCTCACTGCCAGGCGGCTGGAGAGGAGGTAGGCTTGCTGGGCAAAGCAGATCATAATTAACATGGTAGGATTATACATCAAGTCATTAGGTAAGCTCGAGCGTTAGGGATGCAAGGAATGGCAGAAAAGAGACTGGCAAATTAGATGGGGCCTCGACTCTTGATCTGTGCTGCCCCAAACAGAAACCACAGGAATGAAAATTAAATTAAAAACTCAGTTCCTCAGTTGCAGCAGCGACGCTGAGTATTCAATAGCCACACGTGGCTTGTGGCTGCTGTAACAGGCGATGCAGATAGAGACATTTCTATCACTGAATGGCACTACTCTGGATTATGGAGGGTCTCAGGGTCACGCTGGGAATTTGGAATTTTATCCTGTAAGTGCATCAGAGCTACCCACTAGTCCTGACTTTGGCAGAACTTGTGAAAAACTAAAGTGCTAACTCTAAGAACATATGCTGGGGTCCCACTCTGACCCAGAGCCTTCTCCAGAGCAACAAAACAGGGAGGAAGCCTGGGAGTTGAAATCTCTCCAGAACGCAGAACCTGCACAGAATTTCCAGGCAATGCCCACTGCAGACACAGTGACCCCAGGTACCAAAACCCACAGAAAGATAGTCAATATTAGGAAATCTAAGTAGTTCATCCATGACCAAATAAAAGGGGAAAAATCCATAGGATTGGCTTAGAAGTGCAGAAACATTTTACAGAGTTTAACATCTGCTCGTGATTTAAAACAACAAACTTCAGCAAATCAGAGTGAAAGGGAAATTTCCTTAACTTGATAAAGGGTATTTAGTAGAAACCCACAGCAGGAATCCTCCTCATTAAAACCAGGAACAGGCGATGCCTGCTGTCATTACTACCACTCGATACCGTCCCAGGGGTCCTCGCCACACAACAAGACAACTGCCACCAAAGTAGAAAGAACACACCCCAATTTTTTAAAGAGTTACGTAGATAGTCTGGCAGCACACTCCTGGCTAAGGGTCTAAATGGAATACTTTCAGTGTACTGAAGTTACAAGTTGTAGTGCACTAGGCTGAGCACACACTCCTGTTGGTGAAGTGAGAGCACCTAACTGTTCAAGACCTGCCCACTTCTCACACGGACTAGTTCCACATGTTCTACACCTTCTTCGGCGAGAGCTCATTACAGATGTGTAGCTGACACTCAATCTGGCACTACAGAGTCTGGAATTCTAATGCTTTCCAGAAAGTCCTAAAGGCCTGCTGATACCTGTGGCCTGCTCCACAAGTGGATCACTAATGGGTCACAGCAAAGGATTGGCACAGCTGCTCATCTTAGGAAGACCTGGGTCCCCTGACAGCTAACAGGCTTTAGGACATAGCTCCTCAGTCAACTAAAATCGAAATCTGATTCTGAATGCCCCGACCTTGGCCATGTTCTGTGATACAGTTCAGAAGTCTAATCCTACACTGTGCTGAAATTATCTTAGAGAGGCCCCATATTTAGAATGGCCTCAGGCAACAGTAAAGACGATAAAAGTGGTAGACATATGAAAAGAATGTCTACAACTTCAACGATATTGCAGAAATTAGATGTCATGAAAGTGGCAAAAAAAGAACTGTGATCACTAAGGTGTTCAGCGGAGGTGAGTCAACACCGTGGCTCTAACTGGAGATTTGAACTTGTGGGCCTGGGGCAGAGCCTGCATGGCTGTGCTCCTAAAAGCTCCTCCAGGGACTCCGAGATGCACATGGCTGGTTAGGAATCAGTATTCAAGAGACAAGAGGGCCAATCACAACATTTATGGCTACACTGGGAACCTGAAAAGAACTGACGACCAACAAAATCCAGAGTTCCTACATTGTTTGAAATGAACTGTGTACTCTGAAGGTGTTCCCAGCAAGCAATGAAAGGAAAATCTCACACGGACCCCTATCTTAAAAGGATAAGCCTCCCTGAAACGCGCACTTCCTGTGGGGAGAACACAGCACTTTGAAGCACGGGGTCTGCAGCAGACGAAAGCTGCTAACAGGCTGCAGGTCACTTCGTGAGGTTTTCAGTTCTTTAGAAGCATAATCTGACATCTTATCAATGTTATAACAAAGATGAGTCTGTGCTTTTTTTTGGACATTATTTGCTCAGTAATAACCTGACTGATGAAAACAATCCTCATGGTTTCTTTCCAGTTCAAAGGGAACAGATGGCACCATTGTTCTGTGCGGGTCTCGTGAGATGAGACGGTGTGCAATGTGGGGACGGGGCAGCTCCCTGAACTTCGGGCCCTCACAGAAGGACCTGGATGACTGCTCGGCTTCTCAGAGGTAGGTTTTCACTCAAGTGATGCTGACTGTGAAAGAAAACCTCAGAATGCCGAGGTCCATCTAAAAGATTCTTTTCGTAGGTAATTGCAGGGGACATCCTCCACTTTCAGGTCTTACTCATGGAAACAGCTGTGTTACCTACCTGCCTGCAAAAAAGATTTCTTTAATCCAGCAAGAACCAAGATGTCATCCAGAGGATCACATCTTGGGCATCTTTCACTCACAAATGAATTAATTCTGACTGCAGTGTGTGGAAGCCTCAGGCTTCCTTTGATCTTGTAAATGCAGTTTATGCTTCTGCAACAGCATGGAAGAGTATTAAATGCTGTTACCCCATGATACATCTTAACAAAACACTGGCCAGTCATTATATTTATGAAGTACTTGTCAAAGGAGGAGTCTGAAGGATGTACATAAAACATTCCTCAATATTTTAAGTATTAACTATCAATTTTATCAACAAGCTGTACATAAGAAGATCTAGAGGACTGATGTACATAAGAAAATTCAGTAAAAGAGCTATGGGCTGAATAAACTATTGAAGGTACTATTAAGCCAGAGATGCCCACATGGAATAGATGAAGAAAACTGTGCAAAGAAACTGAAGCAAGCATCAGGTGAGCAAACGCATAATGAAGTTTACTGTACTTGCTGAGCTCAAGTCACTACATTAATTACTAACAGAAGTCACAGGTCTGTACACAGCACTTAGCCATTTCGATCAGGAAAAAAGTAGCATCAAGAATTGGTCTAGATCATAAAGAAATTTCAGAGGGAATCAGAGGCTGTCTGTAACTTTTATACCTCTGAAACTTTCATTTCAGCCGCTGTCCTTGACAGTAACCCTGATGACCATGGTCTACAGCCTGGTGATGGCCCAAAGGGATACTCACCTAACAGTGCAGGATCCGCGCTACTTCATTTTTAGACAGTGAATTTTCTTTACATTAAAAAATAAACTTAAAAAAATCAACTGTACTGCTCACGTCTAGGTTACAATTAGTTATATTTTGATAAGAAAAATTAAGTCACGAACACTTTGTGGTCCCATTTCTATATAGTGCCACGAGAAAAAGCTATGTCCTATCAAGCAGGACTTTCATGTAGTATCTATGAAAGATACTTTCCAGGTGTCTGTAAAGCAGTGGAACTGTACTTATACCATATGCATCTGCGGACACTATTCCTACATTTTAACATATTTACAACATAGTGATACTGGAATAACACTTTTATTCTCCAAATTAAGGTATTACCATATGTTTTGGGGCAACAAAACACGTAAGCNGTGATACTGGAATAACACTTTTATTCTACAAATTAAGGTATTACCATATGTTTTGGGGCAACAAAACATGTAAGACCAGTACAATTAATAATTTATAAGGTCCCCTCCAGACCATGGGGGTGAATGGATCTTTCATTATAAATATGTAACTGATTTACTTTTCTCCCTTGAAGAGTGGGGACTACATGGGTCAGGGAGCAAGATGACGTGTGGTCACTAAGCCACAAGGGGCTAATATATGACATGACCTGTTCACTTCCTCTCCATTCTTTCACGAGGTTTTAAAAAATGGTTGATTAAAACTGCATTAGTATATAAAATAATGTATAGCATTATATGAACATCTGTACTTCTCCTTGGTGATGTCACTGCTGACACAGGTAAGTGGACAGAACTACTTTACATTTATAACAACTGCCTCAACTATGTGTCCTTTGGACAAATGCTCACCTTCCTTTCATCAGTCTCATTCTGTCGTAATGAAGTCCACTAAAAAGTTTAATCACTTCAGCTTTTGAGTGAAATCACACCTTGCCGGAAAAGACCTTTTCATTTTTGCCAGTTTTCTTAAAAGATAGGATTAACCCAAGCTACCAACTAAAAGCGGGGAGAATATATCTTCCTTAATCATAAAATGCAAGCGGAAAACTGTGGTATGACACGGACATGATCCCTATGTTCACAGCTGCTCAGACTCTTTCTGGTCGCTTTTTAAGAAATAATCTGACAATCACTATCTCTGTGCACAGTGCTTCCTTCTCTAACAGCCACGAAGCTAACAATTCTACAATCATCACAGCTCATGAAGTAGGAGGCTTCTGAGAAACATAATAAAATTGACACAATGTAAAGTTATCACAATATTTAGTATTTTCATATTTACCTGAATTGTGGTATTTTTTCCCAACATATTCAAATGCAAAGAGTAGCTGGAGGTCAGTTGGCTGGGAATAATGAGCTATTGCAAGGCATACCTAGGAAAAATTCTGCATTTAGAATTTGATGTTAACACACTCAGGTAAATGAAATGTACAATAAGGCCTTGATTACTGGGGGCGTCGTGGGGCAGTGGCCACTGATACTTGTTCACATGTTTTTCTGTTGACCTAGAATGTGAGAGAGCGCCTAAGGCCAGGTGTCTCGTTCATTGCTGTGCCCCCAAGACACTGTTTAATCTCGAGTGAGTAGATGGTAAGTATTTAGCAGTGTTTGCTGAGTTGAATTTTAACAGGAAAGTAATTTTTTTCAATTAAATGACACTTGAAAACTAAAGAAGCAGTCTCCCAAAAGGTAGTGACACATCCACTCCTAAAAAAAAGAAGAAAAAGTTTCACTTTTGGTGGACTATAATAACTTAATACTAGCAATCTGGAAGGCTCAGTATAAGGTATGAAATTTTAATTCTCATACCACATGGATTAAAAAATGTAAACGTAATAGAAAATCTATAATCACAAAAAATAAAAATTAGCAAGAAACCCTAAACTACATGGGTGGCTCAAAGAGGTACATAAAAATAAAGTAATTAATAAATAAAAACCCTGTGTTTAAGTAAGACTGTTTGAGACTACGCTTGTGGGGGGAAAGCGGGGGCTTTCAGATCAAACAGAGAAGGACTTAAATACCAACTAGTCTACCAGGCACTTGCCATGTAGCCTGTGTGAGGTCATTTCATTTCTCTGAGCCTCAGTTTGCGCATCTGTGAAATGAAGACAGTATCTACAGCTGTGGTAGGAATTAATAATCTAATGCACGCGTGGCCTCTGGAGGAGCTCCAAACATGAAATCTGGTTATTATTCTTCTTAACTGCTGTCGGATAGAATGGCCTGCACTTACACAGCCCTGGACTAGATGACAGGAGAAAACACTCTTAAATGAGCAAGAAGAAAGAAGATACTGAAGACATACGCAAGGAGAGAACAGTAGACAATCTTACTGAAAAAGACTAATACCATTTAGAAGGAAAAGCATTAAGCCAGCATGATGTACTTGTGACAGTGAGCATGCAAGAAAGGTTTAGTTCACTGTTAGTCTGGGGTGGGTTGGTGCAAATGCTATCAACTGATAGGTAAGTGTCAGCTTATTTAAAATATAATTAAAAATCCTTCTATAGAATAAATGTTTCCTGTTTTACTAAAAGACAAAGGTTATTAGTTTTAGTTTTGACTAACAACAAAAACAACTTCTTGAAAAGTGTGTAATCTCTCTACTTTCTCAATGCCCACAGGAGAGCCTTCCTTCTATGAGAGTCCTACTAACAACACTTATATGCAGGGCATCCCTAATCTGTTTAGTCATCTCCCTTAAAGCGTTTCTGGCAAAAACTCCAGAAAGCTGCGCCCTGAAACAGTCCCCACCACTTCCTAATCCTTTGGGCACCCTAGTTAGTTTATAAGCTCTGTTGTCCTTTTCTCAGGATTATTTTTCACTTTTGTCCCATTTCTCTGCACTACCACAGCCACATCCTTAAGTCATACTCACCTTATGGCACCTCTGTGGACTTCCTACATTCTTAAAAAAAATCCACAACACTGAAAAATTCTCCTCCTAAGATGAAATTCTGACCAACAGCTCTGCTCTGTAGATAACCCGCTGTGGTTCCCAGACACCTCCGTAACAAATTCAGTCTTCTTAATTCTTCACAAACTGGCCCTCCTCTCCCAGACATCCCTCACCTCCCCAACATTCCCTCACTCTCTCTGCACATAGTCTGTCTGACCTGGTGCCGGCCATCTTCTCAGCCACACTCTGCTTGGGAAATCGCTCCCCACCAGGCTTCTCTGAACCTGTCACCTCTGGTCAACTCTAATCTCCTGAGAGGCTTTCCTAGACTGAGCTAATTTCACTACCAACTGTAGAAATCCTTCTGTTCTAAGTAACAACAGCTCCATTATAAAGTGTTCCTTCAGTGAACTGTGTCTGTGGAGGTGTACTTCCAAGGCAGTCCTGTAAGAGTTATAGGTGTCGATAAAAGGTAAAAACTTCCATCACTAAGTTCAATTTCTCAAGGGTAGAGGTCCCATCTCTCATTCAATCAAGAGACACCTACTGAGACCCCACGTTCTAAGGCCTGGGGATGCTGCAGGGAACAAAACAGGCACAAAGCCCTGTCCTCACTAAGCATACGTTCCAGTGGGGAAGACAGACAACATACAAGAGAAATGAGAAAAACTGGAAGTTAGATACTTCTAAGTGCTACAGGAGCAGGAACATCCAGCAGGGAAGGGGGGGATGAAGTGCTGTAGGGCAGGAAGAAGGGAGCAGGTTAGTAACAGAGACAGCGACCAGGAGGACCTCTCTGTGCAGACCCGGTAAAGGCCTGAACCTCTGCATCTCTGCCATCCCTCCAGGAGCTTTCTGAAGGTGCTTTGTGCTTAACAGCAACTGCACTAAAAATACTAGTTGACAAAATTTGTTAATATAACAAGGAAAAGGCTCCAAGCCAATAATACTGTATCTCTCTCTCTCTAAGACCTTTAGAAAGCTATCACAGGCCTTGTTTTCACAAAAGAAAGTCACATGTCATTGATTACAGAAAATGTCTTTTGTGGCTATAAAGCAAAAACAAACAAAAACTATCTGCTAGGCACAACCTAACCTAGCCCATTTCTAAAAAGCCCTTAAACAAAGCACAGCATCACATTTATAAGGGTTGGGAAACAATATGTCTAACAGGACACACACTAAAGAAGACTATAAAAATACTGTGAAGCAGAAACTCAGTTTAATCACTTGCACAGTGGTTGACTTTGGGGGGAGGGGGCACAACTTGAATTAGTTGTTCAGCAGAAGAATTACAAGTGTGCAAAACTCACTTTCAGAGAACCTGAGTAAAGGTAATCTCTGGGAACCCAGATGAAGGCACATGCAACATGTGTTACCTGGGCTACGTTCATGCTGTTGGCCTAGGACACTGAGAGACAGCAAGCCAGGAGTCCCCTTCCTTGAGCTTTTATATACCCTATTTTAAAAGCTTCCATCCACATTCCTAGCTCCCATCACTAAGTTTGGAAGACTTTAAAAAGTAGGTCTCATTTCCATATAAAATTATTCTAAGCTTCAAAAAATCAAAACTGCCTCTGAAATAGTTTCATTTGCCCTGGATATCAAAAGAAATCTTTTAAATCTTGGTATTAAAGACATTAAATTATGGTAAATATTTCACTATAGGAAAAAAACCTAAGCTGCTTTAGAAGTGATTTTTGGACCAAAGCTGACACTCTTGTCTGGACAGAACCCAGAAGCACCCACGGTTGGTGGTTTCGCCTCTCAGACCAGCTGGAGAAGTCAAAACTCACCAAGTTCTAGAATTGAAAAGCCAAACTGGTTGCCTATGTATCTATGGTCTGAAAGCCACCAAGAAATAAGTCTCAGATTTAAGGCAAAAATGACAGTGCGGGAAAGGCCAGCTGTTCTTTAAATAGATGAGCTGAATTTTCACTTGTAGAAAGTGTGCCTAAACAAGCGGTCCACGGCCAACTTATCGGAGGATAAAATGGGCACAAAGGACACATTTCACTCCCCATCTTCATGTATATATGAGTGATAATGTAAAGTGACATATATGTTACAAGTAGTAAGTCATTAAAACAATCTTTTTTTCACCCTGCTTCAAGCAGAGGTTCTTCAAAAGGAAATGGTGGCTCAAAGTTGCTCTGAGGGTAGACGCCCAATTCCAGATTATCAAATTCCTTTTAGACCTTTCCCAATACCCGTATTTATCTGCGACAGCCCAAGGAGAGTGAGGATGAACGCAGGTGATGTGGTAGCACAAAGTCATCTAATTCTGTCTGAACACAATTTAGGCAGCACTAACTAGACTATAGAAGGCTTTAGCACAACATTTAGCGAAATGTGAACCACTTTAGCATTTTGAGATTTCATACTTTGAACAGAAATGTAAATGCTTTCAGTATTTCAAAATTAATCAGTGGCTTACCCACCAGAGAACTCTGAACATGCATCTGGTCATTTTAAAAACAACTTATAAAAACAAAGCGATCCCAGAGAAAACTTAGCATTCAAAGTTTCCAGGAGAAAAAAATCAATCTGCAGCTTCCCAACTTACCTAATTTTAGATGAAAACTTTCCCTTGAAGTATAAGTAAGCTAGAATTTTTATTAACTCATGAAGGAATTGAGCTCTGGCAGCCACATGTGACGTAACCCTCTGTGTTTGAACCCCCACATGTGAGTCAAGGAAAAATCGCTCTATGTGTATTCTTGTTGCTTATATATTTTTTCCTGCATGTCCCGCCTATGACTGTACAAAAGACAAGAGTGTTTCTTTTTTGTCTGCGGTAACATGCTTTTTGTATTTTAAGACAGTGGGGAAAGGATTTTTGCCAGAAACTTGGTCTTGAGAAAGGGCATAAAAAGCTGGACTAGCTGTTTTGTGTGGACAGTTCAATGAGTCCCCTCACCACTAACAAGCAGCACAACAGACAAGGGACACCCTGAATCTCCAGAGCCCTGATCCTCTGTGTCATTCATCTGGCAACTGATCATTTATGTGGGAACATCTTTTATGTTGCTACATTGTACTGTTACTTAATTTTCACTTGTTCATGCCTTTATTTTCTCGACTAAACTTAGCACATTGCCTCAGACATCAAAAATGAGCAACAAGTAATCTAGATGGCTCAAGAAGCAAGCCAAATAATTATGATTTCCAATTACTGAAATAGTGTCATCTGAAAAATGCAGTAGAGAGTGGGAGAGATGCAAACTTTCTGGGAGAATATTGGGCCACTGTATCAAGTTCTTCCTTTAAAAATATCCAGTTTTAAGTCACTCTCTGAAGTTTTGTGCTGTCCCTAATCTTGACATTCTACACAGTCTGAAGTCAGGGTTTTCATAGACAGATTCTTGATGCCTTAATCTACTAAATTACTAGCACATACTTAACTTCAAGAAAGTAACTTGGTTAAGATAGTTAATGTACAGTCTGCTACTTAATTAATTCTAAAGTCTTTCTATATAAGAACAGGCATCTCAAATTAGTAAAGTGCCAAAACCACAAACTGCATAACTGAACTAAAAGGCGCCTTCAAAGTTACCTCGTTGAATTTTTAATAATGTGCCATGCCGAAGGTGGTTTTACAGGCTCTGCTTGCAAACTTTTAGCCACAGATCCCACCACCGCTCTGCTAGATAACCTAGTCCCAGTGGTCATGCATTTTCAGATATTCATCTCACACTTGCTGTCTTTCTGTCAAGGAACTGTTGATTCTATTTCTAAAAATAAATCTACCACCTCCTGACCAGAGTATATGCAGGCAGCTGCCTTGAAATCACTTTGACAGCCTCGTTTTGATATCAACAGAAAATTTACTGCAGTAAGTCTATTGATCATGGAAAACACAAGCAGCCGGTTTTTGGTGGTGCCAAAGCTGCTGCAGGAAGTTGAGAAAAGCAACTTCCTGCTTCACTAAGGGACGGCTCCTCTAGTCTCCAGATACAGAAGAGGCTTCTCCCAGGAATCCATTACTACTCTCTGCCTTTGTGGCACCAGGCTGGACCAGGAGGCGCTGGGTCCACCGCTCTACCCCTCTGCAAAAGCCAAAACGTGGAATCTAAGTGGGGATTTCTGTCCCTGACTTACTCCACGAATAGGCAATAAGTATTCTCCGAAAGGCAGAGGAAAAAACAAGCCAGTTAAAAAGCCCCTAGCTATTAGCTGCCCCTGTGGAATGTCACTCAGATTAATTCATTAAGATTTCTTTAAAGCACTGATATGAGACCCCTCCCATTACTATGTATTTGCCTAACCCTTATGTACCTGAGTCTAACTTTTAGTTAGTTAAGTTCTAAGGTACTGAATTAAAAGTCTTACCAAACCTCAATTATAATACATCTTCACCTTTTCAATCTTTTTTAAGAAAGGAATCAGCCAGCAATGGTCTTATGTAAAAGATATACATGATACTTTTTAATATTTTAGAAGCTGATAAAAAAATTATATAGAATATTTTAAAGTAACCATAAACTAGTCCAAGGAAATAGTTCTATTAACACCCTTGGCTCTGACTTTCCTTAAGGAGATACCAGATAACTTCCCCTAAAAAAATAAAAATCTGAACAATTGAGAAATCAGAACTTTCATATAGAACTGAAATTGATAAGTATAATGCAAAACCCAGAACCTGATGAAGCTTAACGAAAAAAAGTATTACCTTTTTGGCACTTTCAGGACCTGATTCATCAAAACGAAATCTGACAATTCTGAAATCTTTACAGTAAATAATTAACTCTGTTGGATTAAACTTCAGTTTCTGGTTGGGGCCTAGGACTTTCTGCTTCCTCTTGTGGTCATTTACTACGAAAGAAAAAAAAAGAAAGAAAAAATTAAAGTGTGAAAAATATTCTTTCTTGTCCCCCACCTTTTAGTATTTTAACAAATTCTGATCTGAGTAACAGCAATTAGAAGGCCACCCAGCACTGGAGTGCTGCCTCCCTGGACTCTCACGTTGATCTGTCTGTGATTCCTTGAACTTTGGGGATCGATTTTAACTTTGCTTTTGAAAACATTTCAAATGATTCTTTGCACACCAACCACCACCATCTAGATACATTTTATGACTAAAATTTTAATTTAAAAGGGGACATACATTAGAAAATGTAAAAAGCTACACAGTCTATGGCTCCATTTTGAAATAATTCCTTCACCTCTGTCTTTCATTAATCTTCCTGGGACTCAAAAAAAAAAGGTGGAGGGACACCTACAGAAATAAAATTACAACCCAAGTATCTGAGTATATTCAAGCAATTATTCAAGGGTAGAATCAGCTTTATGGACTAAGTAAAGAATCAAACATTACCTGTGACGATTTGCTCAATACACGTTAAAGGGACATCATGTTCACCAAGGAGGAGGTTTCTGAAATGGAATTTCTGAAATAAAATGTTATGTTCACGTTAATTCTTTTCCCAGTAACCTCACAATGGTAATATGAGCCTTAACTTAGTTTTAGAGTCAAAAGCCTTGACACAAACAGCATACAAACAGAACATACCTGTAACGGCATTGGGTCATCCGTAATAAAGGAAATTTTGAAGTTACTGCATATCAGCTTTCCCCACAAATCGTACTGACTCGTGTCCGTTGCAATGCATTTTCTCACAAAATTGACTTCATTTACAACGATTTCTCCTTTAAAAAAAGAAAAATAACATGTGTGAGCTAACGTGTCAGCAGCCGCTGCGTGACCTAGAAGGGCTATTTCATGATGATGACAGTAAGAACTGTGAGCACCTTCATCCTTACAACAGTGCCAACGAGGCTCACGCTCCACTAGAGACAGACAAATGAGCCCCGGCCCGCACTCTGCCTCCCCTCACTGAAAGGCATTCTGGAGAAGAAACAGACTACACCCTCTCCTTCAGAGTAACATTTGATGGAGTATTTGTATCCTATTTACACACAGCTAGATCTCCCAAACCAACGCCTTTGATTTTGTAAAAAAATGAGAAAAAAATGTTCAGCTCTAGCGTCAAAATTAATAGTGCAATCTATTTATTTTGAGTATACTCTGTAAGTCCAAATCTAGTTTCCCTCTGCACTCAAGTTATAACTTAGCTGGTGATAAAACTTTAAAACGTAGCTTTAGAGTTAAAAGGGAAGATTAAAGAATAAAAGCAAGAAACACAAATAAAAGTTAAAATGTGCTTTGAGGAAGGGCAATTTCCCAAAACTTATTTAAAGCTTGGTTTTCACTGATTTTTTTAAATTCTCACCCCAGGATATGTATTTTATTGCTTTTCACGGGG